GCAGGAATGTGTGTTTGGGGGGAGGCAGCCTAGGCCACTCACCTTGCCAGGAACAAAATGTGCTAACAAGCAGGAGCGAGGGGGGGCGGCTTCGGGCGCTGCAGCTGTGCTGGGTGCGGCTCTGCAAAGCTGCATCCCAGGTGCTGCCTCAGTTAACCCTCATCACAGGAACCTCAAACCGGTATTTCAGATACGGAAAAGGAGGTCAAGTCCTGGCTGAGAGTCACCGCAGCCGCTAGTGCGGGTCCAGGATTGCCAGGGAACTTCCCGTTTTCGCTCTACCCCTGGTGACTAGGTTGAACAAGGCCAAGGGAATGAATCCTACATGGGCAACCAAGCCGGTTTCCTTATCCCACAGCAGGATAAGGAACAGGGAGCAGAAACCAGAGGCAGAGCTGCACGTCCCCCGCCTGCTTCTGGACTGGGGGGCAAGGGGGCGCGTGAAATGGACCAGGCCACAGATGAACATTGAGGACGCTCACTGACACGTGGCCTAGTGACTGGGGTGTGTGTGGGGGGTGGGGTGGGGGGGATGACACAGGAGAGTCATGGCCTCACCCTCCCAACAGTCAACAGAGACCTGAAAAATAAGAATATTTGGTCTAAATAAATAAGCAATGACAACTGCCGGGGGACACGATGCTGAGACACCAGTACTATAGACACTAGGAACTGTGTACGAGGCCGGACCCGACGCATCTCAACATGAGCGCCGTGCAGATGTGCCCGGGTGGGATCCCGAGGGGAGGGACCTAACCAGCACTGCGGTCATGGCCCAGTTGCTCCCGTCTCCCTGGGCCTCAGGGCCTCCCCTCCCCTGCAGAGATGAGCTGGAGGCTATGATATAAATCGCAGGCGGGCAGGGATCCCAGAGGCACCCAGTGACCGTTTCCTCCGGGCGGCCCTCGCTGAGGGCTTCATCTGGCGTTTACAAAAGGCTCAGGGTTAGGTTAGGAAAAAGGCAGAGTCTTAACTTCTCTGGGTGTCTACCCACCTGACCTCTGCAGCTGCTCCCCTGCCCCACCTTCAAAGGCGGAGAAGGGTTCCTGGGCCCACGCGGCTCTCTGTTCCCTTCCAGACCGCTACTCACCCCTCCTTTCTTCAAAGCCTTCTCCTCACAGGTTCCTCCTGTCCCGTTGTGCCCGCTTTCCCCTCTTGCCGCTGTCACTGGCCTTTTGATCACTCCTCCTGTTCGAAGAGGATGCTGGCTACGAGTTCACACTCCCTTCTCCAACAGGTCAGTTTCTTGCTTCGTTACCCACCTGGACCTTGACTTTACCTGTGGCTGTTCCGCCCTCTTCTGGCTCAATGACACCTCCCCACCCCACCCCATGTTGGGGTTCTACCTCATTGAGACCACCAATTTGCTACCACCTCTGAAGTTACCTCCTGTGTTCATGAACCTTGTACCCCACAGCCCATCATCACTCCTCCTGTAATCCTACTGCCTCTCTCTCCCTTCCTACACTCTTCTGGCAAAACCCCAAGTCTTCATCGAGTGTCGTCATGCCAGCTGACCACCCATGTGGGTGTACACACCCCTAACACATCTGAGAGCCTCAATTCCTACTCTAAACTGCCCACCTCACAGGTCAGCCCTGCCCTTTCTACTGTTTCTCTAATTGACTCGCTTTTCAATAGCAAGATGAATGACTACTTCCTACCTTCTGAGAACATCTTCCAGCCACATCCAGCTGATGGTCTCACTTCATTTCACCAAGAGATTCAACCTCCATTATCTCACCATTAGTTTAGCCCTTCTCATCCTCCCCTCTTTCCTGTCCTCTACCTCTTGAGCCCTCTTAGGCTGCAGAACTGTCCCTCTTTTTTCTTGGGTTGCGCCCTTCAGTGACCCCCCTCCTTCATCCCCATACCATCCCTCTCCACTCTCCACAGTAATTGTTCCATCCACATCCACGCGTTCTACCTCACTCTGCAAACACTCCCCTGGTCCCACAGTTCTCATTATCACACCATTTCTCCACATCCCTTTAGGACCAACTTCTCACTCTGTCCCTCCCCCACTCTCCTTTCACTCAACCAACTCCAGTCTGCCTTCACTCCCACCCTGTCCTGAAATTGCTCCCATCAAAGTTACCCAAAGCTTCATACTGCTAATGCCAGTAGACAGTTCTGCCCTCATTTTACCCAAACTCTGACAAGCACTTGGCACAGCCCACTTTCTTAAAGTAGCTTCCTCTCAACTTCTGACCCTCTGTAACATGTCCTCTCCTCCCCCAAACTCTCAAGGTTGGGCTTTTCTTTTCTCCCCCTGGATGACCTCATCCAGCCTGACAAATTGCTCTATCTTTATGCAGATGCCCCACAGATTTGTATCTTAATATGACCACAATGACCCTGATTCTACCCCTTCCAAAAGCTTGCTATTTCCTCGATTTTCCCTTCATCTACAATTTGAATAACCTAAGACACAAACTGAAAGCCACCCTTGACCCTCTCACCTGTCTCTCCAGCTTCATCTCTCCTTGCTCATCCCTATGGTCTAATTACACTGCCCTTTTTCCATTACTAGCCCATGCTCTGGTAAATTAAAGACGGCTGCAAATTCCTGCCCTCCCAATGGAGAGATGGAGTCTAATTCCCCTACCCTTGTTTTGGGATAATTTGCCAATTCTTCCTCAGGACTTTCCTCCCTGGAAAACCTTAGAATATTCTTATCCACACTCCTGCCTGGCTACTTCCTCTCACCTTTCAGCTAAAATACTCTTCGGAGACGACCCTTCCAGACCACCTCAAGTAAAAAATTTCAAGGTAGGACCTGCATCAATCCATTATTTCCTTCTTAACACTGACAAAAAAAAATAGGCATCATAATTAAAATTATTAATCTTATCTTTCTCTCTAGAGCAGGGATTGGCAACCTATGGCCCACAGGCTGGCCACCTCCTTTTAAAAATAGTCTTGCCTGGCCAGCTTGCTCAGTGGTTGAATGTCGACGTACGAACCAGGAGGTCAGGGCACATGCCCGGGTTGCAGACTCGATCCCCAGTGTGGGGTGTGAAAGAGGCAGCTGATCAATGATTCTCATCGTTGATGTTTTTCTCTCTTTCCTTCTTCCTTCCTATCTGATATAAATAAAAATATACTTAAAAATAACGAGTTTTATTGGAACACAGCCACACCCATTTATTTATGTACTGTCCATTACTACTTTTGACATGGCAGAATTGAACAGTTGCTACAAAGACCATGTGGCCCAACAAAGCCTAAAATATTTACCATTTAGCCCCCCGAAAGCTCCCCAGCCCCGAGGGGAGCAAGTCCTATGGCTCTCGTCTTTAGATCTCCAATTCCTCATAGATATTGTCGAAAGAACAAGAGGGCCGGGAAGCCACTATAAACCCTTTACTGGGAAGCTCTTTTTATCAGAGCAGGGCTAGCTCAGGGCTGTGTCAGCTCCCTTCTGATGTCCCCAGAGTCTAAAGGGTCCCCAAAGATGAAAACCCTGAAGGAGATGCACCAGGACTCGGATGTGTCAAGTTCAAGGTCAGTCCAAGGAGACCAAACCATTTCCTCACATCTTTCTGCTCAGTTTCAGAAGACAGCAGGGGGTTGGTTAGGACCCTTTAACCTCCTTTCAGGCATCTACTGCTCTGGCCAATTCCCAGGCAAGGATGCGGCCACTTTCAGAGGGAAAAGGGGGTCCTCTGCTTCTCTGTCCTCAACAATCGTGGGCTGGGCTAGACCCTGGAGGGCAGCCATGTATGTGTGTGGGAAGAGACCATGTAGGAGAGTGGTTCAGAAGCTCCCCCTCAGCAAGAGGATGGGATGGTGACAGCTGAGGCCCATGCATCCCACTTCCCAGTTAGACTAAACTTTGGGGGGTCAGGGAGGCATCAGCTTGTGTGTGGGCGCAGACTTTACATTCAGATGTCTGGGGGCTGCCAGGCTGTGTGTGTGTG